AATAAAGAACAGCTGCTATTTGAAAATAGTGTATTTTGTTTGTCTTTTTTATTATGTAGAGAGAGAAAAGAAAAGATAAACTGAATTTGGTAGATAAATAAATTAATCAGATTAACCGAATCGCCCAGTGGTGTTGGATTCAGTGCAAAACAATCAGAAACACAAGTTCTGCTCAGATTTCCATCCGCAGTGGAAGCAGGGTCATGATCAACTACACTCTGGAAGAGGCGGGCAGCTCAGAGACTCCCTAAAACACAAAAAAACTTCCTGTCATCTCTGCTTCCTCCCTCCGCCTCGGACAATAGATTCCTCGTAAAGGGAATCGTCCGTGCGCCGTTTCTCTCTGGACGAGGGAGATATCTTTACAGGAAGTAGAAAGCACAATATCTGTAGCTTGCGTTGATGTGAAGCTACGAGATGGACAGAGTCTTACTTTTCCCTCCACTCCCACGCCACAGTCGGCTTCCTGGATCATGCTGACATCGTTTCCTCCGTCCCCTGGGAGAGAACAAAAGCCACAGAGGTGTCAGAACTCGCATCAGTCACCAGGACCGACTGCTTGGACACCATCTACGCTCCACCCCCCTCCATTTTAACTCAAGACAGCTAGGCAACATCAACAGGAGAGAGAGCTGCTGGTTGCAGCAGTTTGTGGTGGAGACTTATGGACTTGATGTAGACGTTGATGGTTAAAAAACAAAAAAAGTTTCCTTTTGGTTTTATTTTTTTTAGATCAAACCAAAGCCATGCATCTTTAATACTCACCGACTGCGCAGGTGAGTTTGCCCGTGCGCTCCTGCAGCAGTCGGACTATCTGTGCTTTCTGGGTGGGGGTGCATCGGCAGCAAACCACAGCAGGACACTGACATGCAAGCTCCATGAACTCATACTCGTAATATTTCAGACAGACCTGCCGAGAAAGAAAAAAAAGAGGCAGAGATGAAGACAGGTGAGGACTTCAGTCCACCACATTTAACTGATTTTAGCTGTGGCACCCAAAGCTACAGTTAGAAGCTCCAGCTGCGGTTTAGAAAGTGTCTATAACCACGGATGCCACATCCAGAAAAAGGCTAGAGTGGATGCCATATTATCGTGCATCGCACTGCAAACATGTCACAGTTTCATAAAGACAGATAAGTCGGTGGGATGTGGATCAGACACGCAAGAGCGAACCCACCTCGAGCGAGTCCCCTGATATCACCAAAGCGCAGTCATGCTTTCGCCTGAAAGCGTTGAGCTCCAGGTGGGCTTCCCCTCGCGTTGTCACCTGTGGCAAAACACCCACATTTATAAATGAACCAATATGTCAGAGAGGCGCATGCATAGGAGGAAGCATATAGAGATGATTATCAGTGAGCCTTTGTGTGCCTGCTGCTTATCAGATGGCTGCTTTTACTCCTGCTGCTGTGTCTAAACGCTGGAATAACCAACCTCACTGCAACTAATTCAATATAAGCAGCTTGATTTTCCCTTTAAATAAGTTTTCTTTCAAGCGGGAAAAACTATTTGTCAATGGAACAAGTAAAAGAATGTTTAAAATAAGAGAAAAAAAATTATCATCTTATAAAATGATCAAATTTTAGCAGATCGTCTAATTTACCTGCTCACATTCGGGTTTTTTTCACCTAAAAAAGTTGAAAACTCAAGTAATTTTTTCTAAAATAAGTGCATTTTTTTCTTTTATCAAGGAGGTAAGTGAGACACTTTGCCAACAGAAAAAGACAATTTACATTTAAAATAAGAAAA